GATTTCTATTTGCACCAGTATAAAATCCTTGTGTCTTGTTTGTAGTTGATCTGTGATTGCTTAGTTTAATTTTTATTTCTACTGCTATTTTATATATTCTTCTTAATCTCGAACAACTTTAGCAATCAGCCTATAAAATTGATGATTTGAATTGCAGAAGATGATGAGCTTGAAGAAATAGGGGATTTGCTTGTTTAGGCTTGAATATTTGCATGAAGAGAGGAAGAAACAGCGGGTAGGCTTGAAGAGGAAAGGATACCACATGAGATTAGAATAAGATAAAGGGGATTAGAAGGGTTAGAGGTCAGAAGAGGAAAAAAGAGGGAAGAGGTGGAGTAGAGGGAGATGGACATGAAGATAGTATGCGCTCGTAGTTAGTCTAAACCTACTCATTATTCATAGTTTTTAATTGTTAAACTAACAAATTGACTAAATATCATCATTTAAGGTGATTCAGGGGACTAATATCAAAATATGAAGATTTAGGATAGTGATATCAAAATTATTTAAAGGGACTAACACTTACAAAAAACTCTGTTCTTTTCAATTTAATTTGAATATAACCCAACATTCTTTATTTTCGTGTCAGCCCTCGTTCTTTCTCATCTCTCCTACCCCCCAATTCTAAACCCTAACCTCAAAAGCCCTTGTAACCCAATCTCTTCCAACTCTCCGTTCTTCTCCGTCGATCATCCATTTGTCCATTTTTCTCCGCCATTCTCCTCTACGTCGTCACCTACTATCAAACAATGGTTGAAGACTCACAACTGAAGATAATATCCCTGATTAGAGAAATTAGTGATGACGGCTCAAAAATTAAAGTCGTAGGAAGAAAATTAGGCACGGATTCAGCTGGTAGGAAAATTCCTATAAAATTTTTGCAGAAAGGCCCCATGATGTTTTAGGTAAATTACACTAAGGCCCCATGGACATTTAAAATGCCTTTTATGTTGTTTTTTGGTTCTAATTTACAGGCTTATCAACAAAGCTCAGAAAGTTTGTGGTGGGTTTTCTGTAATTCTAAAAAATAAGCTCATGGGAATTTAGTGTAATTTTTATGTATAAGGGTAAGTTAACAGTTTTTTCTATCTTATCTTTAATTATTTTCCTTCAAATTTCTTTCTAGAATTTTTTTCCTCACCAAATATAAGGAAGAATCTTATTTCTTTGTTTTATTTTTTTTCCTTTTTTTTCCCCTTTCATTTTCTTTTCTTTCACTTCACCTTAAACCACCTTAAACCATCAAAACCAAACACAACCTCAGTTGAGAAGGAAGAGAGAGAGAAATAAGAACGGCTCACTTTATAAACCAAACTGGTTCAGTCGAACCGTCCGAGTCTAGGCCATAGAAGATCATTGGGCTCCCCCTGGACCAGTATTCATGCCCGCAGAGTAAATGTTCTATCCGTCGCAGCCCAATTTCATCACCGCTCTCTTAGTGGGCCTGGCTGTGGCCCGCCATTTGGTCGGATCCCAATTATTCCTCAAAATTAAACGAAATGAAGGAAAACGACAGGGACAAATTTTCAAAACCGACCCTTTGGGGTTTTTAATTGCAAAAAACGACCCATTTCACACTTATTTATAAAAACCGACCCCAGGGGCTGAAAACATGTCGGTTTTTGAAAAATTTTTTCCCAAACTTCACGGGAGTTGAACTCCCGTGAAGTTTTGTTATGAGAAAAACTTCACGGGAGTTCAACTCCCGTGAAGTTTGGGAAAAAAATTTTCAAAAACCGACCTGTTTTCAGCCCCTGGGGTCGGTTTTTGTAAATATTTTCAAAACCGGTCGTTTTTTGCAAATAAAAACCCCAAGGGGTCGGTTTTGAAAATTTGTCCAAAACGACAGCTTTCATTTTCTTTCCGTTTCTTGTCTATTCTTTTTTACCAAAAATCCCATCCCACATTATTTCGTCGCCCGTCCGCAAGTCTCAAATCATTAATTATTTTATTTAGAGAGACATGCAGGTAATGTTCATCTAAACCCCAGAAGATGTACGGTCGCTCCACCGAAGTTTCGTCGTAAGCTAGGAGGAAGAGAAGCATAATGGTGAGGATTTTTCCCCTCAAAATCCTTTTCCCCCCTCTTTCGTGGTCATGTTTATGCTTTTTCTCGCCAATGCCATCTATTATGCTTATTTCCTTTTATATGACGTGGGTTTTCCGGAATTCAGTGAAATGTTAAATGGTTTTTTTTATCATTTGTTCATCATAAAACACATTTTGCAGCTACACGAAATGAGAAATGGGTTTGTGTTGTTTTTTCATTTTAGGTTTTCATTCTATTAATTGATACGACCTGGGTTTCCTATAGAACAATTTTTCACTTTAGCCCTATTTAAATTTTTTATTATTAAAATCGACCCTTTTTTCTTTTATTTACCAAAACCGACCCGATTTCTTGATTAGCGGCTTAATCACATTCCTAATTAGTCGGGGTTGCCAACCCCGACTATTTAGGATATTAATTTTTAGGGTTTAAGGCTTCTAATTAGGGTTTAAGACCCTCCTAAATAGTCGGGGTTGGCAACCCCGACTAATTAGGAATGTGATTAAGCCGCTAATCAAGAAATCGGGTCGGTTTTGATAAATAAAAGAAAAAATGGTCGATTTTAATAATAAAAAATTTTAAAAGGGCTAAAGTGAAAATTTGTTCTTTCCTATATTTATCCTTGATATATGCTGTGGGGTTTGTTTGATTGGCTTATTTCTAAACGTTTTGTGCAGCTGTGATTATTTCTACTTTTATTGGGTATTTCATTATATATAGTGTATGTTTCTGTAGAGCATGCAGTTACATAAATTTGTTGAGAGAAGGAACAATCGCAGAGGATCATTCACTATTATTAAGAAGCTAAATACGGCTAAATATCCCTGTTGAAAAAAAAGTAAAATAGTAATAGAAATAGAGGATTGCTCTGACCTCTGCAACAGGGGGATTACAAATATGGACATTTTCCCTCCAATCCAAAATATTGGGTGGGTTTTTGCAACTACATACCGTCACATTGTGAGTCAAGCATGTTTGATTATGTGGGGTTTGGACTGGTTGGTGGGTTATGCGTCTCAGCTTATCATGTTTTATGTAGAAATATATACGGAAAATTATGGATGTCTAGCTTCCTCATTCTCCTGATAAAATGGATGTTTATTAATGTTCTATTTATAATCGGAGATTTCTAGTGAGTTCAAATGTTGTGTGTGGGCTTTTGACAGGTTCTTTAAAGAAAACCAAAACTCACTTCTTAGAACTGGGAGAGGTTTTCAAGCTTTTTTTCAAATCCATAACTGTTCTAGTTGGGTTCGGATGTGTCCAAGTCACAAACTCGATGTAGTGAAGAATTGTAAAAAATTGTAAGATGGATAAGGCGGTAACAAAGGACCACCATCATTTCCCCTTTGGTTCATAGTATAGCAGGGTGACTAAGATGGTGTCTGAGGAGTCCTGGATTGACTATATAGCCCCTGAAAAAAGCGATTATTTTTTACCAGATCATTGTAACCAAGCTCTAGCAAAGAACGTGAAATAGACTACTCTATTAGTGTCGCTTTGGGTATGGCAATGATTTCTACTCTATAGTAACTTATACTTGAAAATTGTGCTTTCTTATCTACAGTAACATGTGAATATATTTTGAGAAATCAAATGCAAAGGGAGTTAGAATGGAAAGCAACATGCTTCAGTTTCTTTTCAGATATGCAACATCCTTTGGTATATGTCTGGTTAAGGTTACATGTGAAGGTATTTTCAACACACGTCCATATAACAAGAATCGAAAAAGGCTATTCAATTTTTATTTTTACAACTCTGCAGGTTTCATAGTCATTCAAAAGAAGAACAGTTATTGCATCAAATAATAGTAACACTTCATGAACATGTTCATGTAGAGTTTCATTACTATCAGCTACAACATGTTAATCAGTTGATGCTTTCAGTTTGAGTCATTCAAATGACCAGGTGTTTGGCTTATTCATACATGCCAGTATCATCTTGTATCAGTGTCTTAGTTTGAACCCCATCAGGTTGTATGTGCTGACAAATAAGTACCTTGATGTTGGTAGTCAAGCGAGCTATTCTTTAATTTACCGGGAGTAATCTACTCAAGAATGATTGTTAAATTCTAGAAGGAAAAAAGGGGGCAGGTGAAAGTACCTTAGGGGGGTGAATAGGGTAAAGCTAATCTAATCCGATTACGATACCAACTCTTATAATTCAATATCGTAGCAATATGATATACAAAGAGATATGCAAGGATAAACAATGAGATAATAGGCGATATAAACACAAGCACAAGATGTAAAGAATAATAATGCGCCAAAAACAATCGCAAACACAAGATATGATCACGGAGTTCGATCAACCCTTGACCTACGTCTCCGCTCCTCACCTCCAGGAGATCTCCACTATCACTCAAGAACTACACAAAACGGTTTTCAAAGTTCACCGATAATTTTTACAATGCACACAATGTCAATCACACAAACCACACTTTTCTAAGTGTTGGACTATCCATGCCAACTACCTCAAGTGTTTGGAATTACAACCTCTCTCTAGAATTTACAACCAAACCACTCCTCTTGGTATTAACTCCGGTCTCTCCCAACCACTCCTCTAAATATCCTTATGTATTACAACGTGTTTAAATAATAAGTGCAAATAAAGAATTTTGTTCTCTAAACAGATGAGAACGAAATATAAGTTTCTCTTAATGAATCACTCTCACAACCCAATATTTACTAAATATGAAATACTAAAGCTCAAATGGGTGTGTGTGTATGTAAACAATGAGTAAAACGAAATCAAATTCAATTAAAGATTAGCTAAAGAGAGGGTTTAGAAAAACTTCTCCAAAACAAGGAGAGATAGAGATTTGAAGATAAACGCCTCAAAACCGAAATCAAGATCCTTTTTTAAAACTCTTTTTCCACATAAACAAACACACTAGATCTTTCTCAAAATGTGGAGCAAATTGATCAAATTTTTCTGGTCGTTCAAATAAGTCTTGAGGACTATTTATAGCCTCTCAAAACTGATCAAATCAAAAACTAGTCGTTACAGATAAAAACATGATCAATCGACTGATAGGTGTATCGGTCGACTGAGCAATTCGATCGTTAGCTAGTTTTGGGGAAAAAATAAAACAAAACTGGTCAACTGACAAACACAACCGGTCGACTTAGTTACTGTTAGGTTGACTGATGCAAACAGTCGGTCGACGCTGTTGTGAAACTACTTCTGGCAAGTCGACTGAGAAACTTGGTTGGTCGACTGAAAAGACTATGCGGTCGACTGATTTATGCAATCAGTCTACTGGTCGACTGAAGTAGCATTTGCTATAAAAAATAGCTTTTGCCAAGTCAACTGGTCGACTGTTCAGTCGACTGACTACTGAAATTTTGGCAATCAACAAAAGCAAGAAAAAAATAGCTAAAAACTCTAAAAATTGTGAAACTTGGGAAAACGTTTATACATACGAAAATAAATATGTTAGAAGAGGACTTTCTAAGATAGTACTTTCCATTTATGTACACTCATTATTTTGCAAAATTTACGAAATCGTTAAATATGATTTCATAGATTAACAAAATCGTCAAAAATACGAAATCGTTAAACTATTGATTCTGATGAAATCATTTCAAACAAGTTTTGAGATATTTTTAAATGGATTAATAGACTTTAGAAAAGATGTAAAATAGTATCATTAAGGCTATAATCTGAAAACACGTTATTTTCCCAAATAAATATATAATGTGATAAATATGAAACTAATAGATATATTTTTATGTCTAAACTTATCCATAAAGATATTCAAAAATCCTTTAACAAGGCGAATAAACAATGAAAGCGATAAAACGAAATAATATGTATGTGTATGGTTTGAGCTTTAAGTATAAACACATAAAGTAAAACACCTAAACTAGCAAACACTGTACCCAAGCTAAGAATCTCCATGAAGCTTGATCTGTTAGCAGGGATGAAGCGCGATAGTGTGTATTTGACTTGAATGGCAAAGGCTTAATTCTAATTTTCGCCAGCCTCCACTCAGATGTCGTCGTTAATGTACAAATCCATCCATCCATCCATTTTTTTTATGCTTGTCTAGAATACTTAGCAAGCAAACACAAATACTAGAAAACAATGTTAGAAATTGTTTGTTAATCATCAAAACCAGATTAGACAATAGGCTCATAAACATGAGCCCTAACAGCGGGGTGGGGGCTCATAAATTTTTAACACTAATATTAACATAAGCAAAAGCAAGAGAATTGCATGAGTAAACTCTCCTTGACAGCAAAGTTGCATAGTCATGTGGAAGTTTATATAGAACACACTACAATAACCCTAACTCCTTCTTTGGCCTCTAGGCGTGACTGTGAATATCACATCCCAAGCAAATTGCATATCATATTCCTCTGATGAATTTTGTACTATTGGCTGTTTCTGTTCTGTTGTTAAAATGGCAATCATAGAGCTTGTCAGACTCATTGTTGGTATTCTATGTCTCCTCTTTGTAGTCTCTTGACTTATTAACCATCATCCTCCACAAAACTTCGCCAATAAAGTTAAAATTCTGAGAAGCCAGCTTTTGTCATGCTATAGCATGATTTGTAGTTTGTAGCCTATCTAATCTTATACGAACCTGACAGGCATGGAGGTTAAGTTTCTGAGATCACGTAACTGCACCCAAATCTGGAAAGTAAACTGATGGAAGAGGGATGATAAATGAGCATAGTTGAATCATTACATACTAGGAATAACCAGTTGCCCTTTTGGTATTGGATGCCCTATCTTTGTCATTTGGAGTCCGTAGTAATTTAGAGACAATAGATTTTAGATGCCCTCTGAAAAGAAACTTATGATCCTTTTATTGCTATGTATCTATTTGTCAAACAATTTAGTGAACAGTCAACTCTTGAAGATTTGAACTTTGACTTTTGAACTTCTTATCAAGTGTAATTTCTTTAAAAAGGCATGTCATCCCACATTTATTAAACTAATTGAGTTTTTAACTTAAATTGGTTTCATGAATGTCTGGGTGATTGGGTTCAGTTTTTAGATTCATACCTATTGTATAATCCTATATACAATGTTAGTATAGAACGTTCTGCCGCATCTTGTTTCCTTTTAGTATTTAACATATTTTTCCTTTTGAATAGGGGAATGGATCTTCGCCTCTTTGTCATTTTATATTATTCCTTGTTTAATTTTTCTGGTGTGCATTATGTTAGATCAGGTTCCTTCTCAGTGAAATATATATGTGAAAGACAATTTTAAGGGTTTCTGTGCTATTGGCCCCTTAAAACTTAAGTTATTTAAATATGTCCTCTAAGACTCGTTATTAGAGAAAGTCCCTCAAATCTCTTTTAGATCCATGTACTTTATATATGCTATCTTAACTCCCAAAAAAACTAGTGGCATTAATTTCTTTAAACTGCCTATTATGCCCTCTTCATCCTTAACCCACCCTATAATATTCTAATGTCCCTCTCCAAAGCCCATTAAAAGTTCCTTTTTTATCCATCGAGCGATCTTATGATATGATGGAGAAAACTTGAGCTTTTAATGAATTTTCAGAAGAGAGGTTAGAATATTATTGCTAGGATGGGTTGAAGAAGAAGAGGGTATAATGTGAAACTAAAGATTTTTTTTTGTGGTTAAGTTAACAAATTTAGACTAGAAGGATATATTTGGTGTAACAAAAAAGTATTCGGAACTTTTCTCGTAATAATGAGTTATGGGGGACCTATTTCAATTAACTTATGTTTAGGGGGGCAATACCTCAAAGCCCTAGTTTAATGTCAGAGATATTTTTGGAGTCTTGAACCATGTTCCATGAGATGTTGATTCTTTAATCTATTTTTGTATGCAAGCTTTGCCTCATACTTAAATTAGTCATTCAGCTCCTTAATTATCATTGCTAGTAGAAGAATCTCTAAGGTGATATTTGTCATACCCAAGTTTATTCTCTATCCAGATGAAAAATGATTACCTCTATGTTCTTTCCCTCTTTGGAATGATATTAATACCATGACCGATATGACACTACTTATATGAGCTAAGATTTGAATTTTGTTCCTCCAATTCCTGATGTTTATGAGATAACATTGTCAGATATTTGTATTTTATTTGTAGTCATCTGCTACATTTTGGTATTTTACGACTCTTCTCCATCATCTTTTGATCATGCAGGATAGAGTCTGTAGCACTTGTGGGGACTTTGGATATGCTGAAAATCTTGTGACTTGTTATCACTGCAACAAGACTTCTGAACATATGTATGCTGCCTACTTTACAATCTTATACTTGCAAGTTTAAAGGTTATTTGGTGATGAGTTTTCCACCGGCATAATACTATCGATAAATCATTTTTAATCTTGAAGTTTTTTAACCTTTAATAGGAATTGATGTTTAGTTCTTACCATTACAAATAAGTCATACAATGTTTTAGAAAGAGGGCGTATAGCTTTCCTAGGCACCCACCTAGGCCTAGGCAATACCTAGGCCGCTTGCCCAGTTCTTGGGAGCACTTAGAAGAGCATAGGCCGCTTATTCGGATTGCACTGCTTATGTCATGATCTTGATTTCTTCTGCTGCAGCCTTTACGTTCTTTAATCCCATTTGAACTCCTATTACAAACTATGAACTTTCTTCATCTCCCCCGACTCTTCGAAAACCACCTACATCACCACTTAAACGAAGAAAGAAATCTGCATAAGCGCAAGGCACCAAGCGTGCCTAGCACCAGACGTTCCTAGCACTAAACATGCCTAGCATTTTCTATAACATTGGACTTTATTATCAATTATTATAACTCAAAAATAAAAAAAGGAAAATTGTTTAGGCCCTGCCTATGATCACCTAGGCTTTAGGCGCATGGTCTGGCATCTAGGCCGCCTAGCACTTTCTATTATCTTGATGCCATAACAACAAAAGTTGCGCTCACTTATCCTATGTGGCTTTACTATTATCTAAAAAAGTGAATATTTTGGGAAATAGTTGTAGTTTTAAATTCTTTGTGACTAATTCATGCAAGTTTTCCTCTTTAGTATCAATTTCCAGCTTTTATGTGACTCATCCTTAGTATAGAGTTGAAGGATCCAACATATCAATTTGTGTACTTACTGGTCTCGCTAAAATGTTGCATTTACCGGCCTTGATGCTCTTGTTTATGCTATTAGCTTAGAAGAAAAACATGAAAGGAACATATACAAGGATGTCATCTAAGAAATCTGCCATAAGTAAGAAATCTGCCATAAGTATATACTTTCTATAGTGGTCTTCTTTCCAGTCGATCTCTCTCCTCATCTATGGAGTGCAAGACTGTAAGACACAAATAGAGATTTTGTCCGGTAACCCTCTGATAGAAAAATCGGAAGTTATATATCAATTATTTATAAAAGCCACTTCTAGAACTAGTATATACATACATATATGCATATACATGTGTGTGTGTGTGTTTATACATACACATATATATAAACACACACATGTATAGTATATCTATGTATACATATATATGTATATGCACATATATACTAATATATCTATATCTATATACATATACATGAACACACGCACACGCGCACACATATATAGAGAGAGTGGGAGAGAACAGGAGGTGAGCTGACAGCATAGGAAATTTCTTGCGTTGTCGCCTTGTGTCGGCTTGTGATTTGCTGAAAAAATAATTGGCTATTGGATAGATTTAGAGACAGTTGAGTTTTTTAATTTAAATTTGAAAAAAGATAAAGGCCTTATATGTAAAAGTCCTATAAGTTCTCATCCCAGCGTCTGAACTCTCCCGGCAGCCAAACTCTCATCTGTCTCCTCCTCCTCCTCCATTAGCTGGTCAACAAACAATCCAGTCGCAATAGCGGCACTGCCATTTACGACAGTCGTCAAGGAGACATTGAGAGTGATTTCAAACCCCTCAAGAAGGAAGCAAAAAGCATCTCCAACTAAAGATTCAATAAAACATAGTTTGAAGGGAAATTTTGGGTAATTCTGAATCTCAGGATTTGGAGAAGAAGAGGTATAGAAGTGGGCATGAAAGAATTTTCTAAGA